CGCCTGATCGCTGCTCCTTACCGGCTGGCTCACTGCTCCTTAGTGTTGCCGCGGAGGTGGGAGAGGCTCCCGCCACTGCCACTGCACTTGCCAGCCGTGAGCCTGCTTCTGGCTGAGTGGTGCTCCCTGTGGGAGTGCACTGACCACCAGGGGGCAGCTCTTGTGTTGAGCATCTGCCCCCTGGTGATCAGTGTGCGTCATAGTGACCTGTCATTCCGCTGTTCGGTCGATTTGCATATTAGGCTTTTATTATATAGGATTGAGGGTGGGGGATGTGCCCATCAATCACAGATCAGGTGCTATGCCTGGAACCAAAGGCATCTTAAGAACCCAGAATGGGGAGTGTTTTTGCCCTTGGTTGCCTTGGTTGTACATGTGTATTAGGACAATCTGGATTCTCAAACATTAAAGGCAAGATGGTTCCCTGCTCTGTTAGCTCTGCTTCTTAACTTGTAGTTGAACTTGTGCTGTGTGGATAAACACATGTTGGTGCATGCTGCTCTGCCAGTAACTGTCCCAAGTATAAAAAGGAATGGCATGGCCTACAACCCCTGCCCTCACAGAGATGAGGGAGCAAGCAGGGAGCTCTCATCCTGCAGGGCTCAATGTGGTGTCAAGGGTATTTTGGGCATCTGGAGCAGGGACTGATTGGCTTGAGGAGCTTGAGGAACTTTAGTGGTTTAGCGAACGTGAAAGTGAGGCAAATCTAGGCTGGGTTGGCTCTAGATTAGCAGGGCTTGCTGTGCCGAGCAAGGGAGCAGTGGAATTTGTCAGAGTTGAGCTCACACATTGAAGTTATTGAGTGACTTACACGCAAGGCCGTGACCCGGACTCCCAACTGGGAAGCCCACGTGGCAGGGCTTTAGCTGGGGGAGCCGAGGACAGGCTCACATCTGCTCATCTGCTTACGTAACCCTGCTTCCCAGCTCCCAGAGCCAAGAAAACACACAAGCCAGCCCAGCGGGGCCGAGGGCCTGTGGTAGCACACGCCATGCGCCTCACAGCAAGGGAGCCTTGGCTTAGCGTGAGGACTGTCATGAAGGCTTCAGCCCTTTGTTTCTTCCCCTCGCCTCTCCCTGAGGCCTCCAGCCGTGGCTCTGAGACCCGGCCCCAGGTCTGCAAGGGTCTGGGCAGAGCTGGTTGCTGCCCCCCTGGAGTCTGAGCTCTATGAATTTTCTCACTGGGACAGAGCCAGGGGTGCAGCAGAGGACAGCTCCTGTGGGTGGCAGGAGATGTGCCGGACATTCCCGGAGGCCTCCTGGCTGGCACTGGACCCAAGGTTTGGGGCTGCCACTGACTGCCAAGTGCTATCCACTCTCAGAGGTGAGATCTGCAGGATTCTCAGAGCTGTGGAGGCTTCACAGAGAGAAGGTGGGGAAAGAATTGCCAGATTGGGCAGGGAAGGCAGGATCCGGGGGTCAGTGTGCCTTCAGTGTGTTAGAGACGATGGGGGTTGTGAGAAGGGTGCAAAGAGTGAGAAGAGGCTGTTCAGTGATAAAGCTCCACATGAGCTCTTGGAGGAGCCAGTGGGGGTGGAGTCTTCTGGAGCAGGTTGAGTTCTGGTCCCTGCAATTTACAAAGGGGAAACCAGTATCCTGAGTGCAGACGCTACTTGCCCAAAGATAGGTCATCCAGCAAGTCACTGATGGAGCTACACCAGGGCCCAGGCATCCTCTCTCCTCTCCAGGAAACCTCAGGACCACCTTTCTGGAACTCCTGAAGGGGCAAAACTAAGACCAGCCTGCAGGTGTCTGCTTCAGGAGGCTGGGCAGACCAAGTGTGGATTCCTGTCTTCTGGGCTGGTTTCCGAAAGTATGAGTAAGGTGGTAGGGTGACAGTCCAGATGCACTTGGGTTCCTGAAAATGGGGTTATGTTTAGTAGCATCTCGAGAAGAAAAGGTGCAAAGGCTTTGCAGATGTTGTGGGGCCCTCTGAAGTGAGAAGAGCCCGGTGACAGATCTTTTTCATGTTTTTCACAAGTGCACGGTGCAGCAGGGCCTCCCAGAAGACTTTGCCCAGGCCGGGGAGTCAAGCAGTTGAGGCCTGCTGGACCCCGTTGGGAAGGGCTGCTCTGTGACCTCTGAGTTGTAGGAGACACTGAGGGCCCTCCTTGCCTGCAACCTCCGAGACTTGTGAAGATGGGAGGTTCCTCTCCCCATTGCCCAGCTTGCCCAGACAGAGGCACCTAGGCTCTGGCCTGGCTGGTTGGCTCAGTGGATAGAGCATTGGCCCGCAGACTGAAGGGTCCCGGGTTCATTTCCAGTGAGGGGCATGTTCCTGGGTTGTGGGAGGCAACCAGTCCATGTGTCTCTCTCACATCAGTGTCTCTCTCTCTCTCTCTCTGTCTCTGTCTCTTCTCCTCCTTCCATTCTCTCTAAAAAGCAATGGAAAAGTATCCTTGGGTGAGGATTAACAACAAAAAACAAAAAAAAACAGGACCAGAATCACCTAGGCCCGTGGTCGGCAAACTGCGGCTCGCGAGCCACATGCGGCTCTTTGGCCCCTTGAGTGTGGCTCTTCCTAAGCCTTAGGAGTACCCTAATTAAGTTAATAACAATGTACCTACCTATATAGTTTAAGTTTAAAAAATTTGGCTCTCAAAAGAAATTTCAATCGTTGTACTGTTGATATTTGGCTCTGTTGACTAATGAGTTTGCCGACCACTGACCTAGGCTCCTTGTTAATTATTCACCTAGGTCCTTCCCAAGATCTCCCCAGTTCAGGCTCTTTAGGGGAAGGGCCTGAGAGTCCATATTTTTTAGAAATTGCCTCAGGTGATCCTGATGATAGGTTTGGGGAAAACTGGTCCAGGCATCCCCTTACTTAGTCCTAGAGTATAAAGCCAATACTCACCTGAGGGCACCCTAGGATATGGAAGCTGGGTCAGCCAGCAGCCCAGTGAGGGACTGATCTGTGAGGCCCCCGCCCCTCCAGAGAGGGAGGTACATGGCCCAGGAGGCAACAGGGCTTTGGAACCCTGAGGGTCCCCTTCCTCACCCCGGGGGATCGGCTGTCTGAGTTCTGTGGTAATGAAGAAAGGGAAAGGACAAGGCAAGATTGGGACTTTGCTTTTAAGATGCTGGCCTGTCTCTCCTTGCAAAATTTGCCATTAGAGGAAAGAGGGAAGGGCATTTCTGGCAAAGAGAAAAGTGCAGTCATAGGCCTGGTTTATAAGAATGGGGAGGGAGGTAGAGCTGAGACTGAAGGGCCTTGTTGCCAAGCCTTGCCTTGTCCAAGGCGACACGGCCTTAGAGCCATGGGAGGTTTTTAGTGGGAAGGTAATGATCAGAGCTGTGTCTCAAGAAAATGAATGGGAACAGGTCCGGTGGTGATGGAGCTGGGTCAGCACTGGAGGGAGGGAACGCGAGTGGTGTGCTGGAGGTGCAGGGGAGGGGAGAAGGAGAGGAGATGGCTGGTTCGCACCTGTGAACAGGCAGGAGGAGCAAGAGTCACAGCTTGCTTGTCTCCGGCTGTCTCATTTCAGGAGGGTAGTGATCTCTGGGGACGGGTGCTCAGAGAGCCACATACTATTGATAAACAAGGTGGCAGAGGGTGCACACTGGTTCTCACTGGCATGTTTCAGGTGAACTTGCTCTGAGTTTGTGGTCAGCGTTCTCACCTCTGTTCCTTTGTGCTTGTGACTAGTTTGCTTCACAGGGGAAGCTGGTTACACTAGAGTATCAGTTCTCAAACTGCGTCCCCCGGTAAAATGATTCTGTGGCCCAGTACATTTGGGAGATGGCGAGTTAAATAAAGTGAAGAAAGTTTTTTGATTGCACACCTTCTCAGAGCCTTTGGTGTACGTCCTGACTTTCCAGAAGCAGGATTTAGTGGGTAGGGTTCCTGTTCTCATTTGACCAGGGGACATGTTCTTCTGTTAAGCATCCTGCTAGGATTAGTGTTTCGTGGAACCCTCTTTGAGAAAGTTTGTCCTACAGAGAATACTGGGCGCCTGGGTTCAAGTCATGACTCAGTCCCCAATTCCCTGTGTGTCCCTGGGCCAGTCACCTTTCTTCTGCCCTCACCGTCTGTGCTGTGTGAGGGACAGTTCCCAGCAGCCCTCTCGTAGCGCCACCTGTTTGTGTTTAGGAGGCAAGAGCTGCCATGTCTGTATCTGGATCTTGGCCTTGGCCTTTCCCTCTGCTTCTAACTTGCCACTAACTAAAAACCCACCGTCCATACACATCTCATCCATTTTTCACCTAAGCCAGAGAGCTCTCCTACTAACTATTTCTCTCATCTGGAGCCACGTTCTTCTAGGCCAGAAACTTTGCGGTGATCCCTGACTGGATTCCCTCCCTTCTACTCAGCGTCTTCTTTGATGTTCTTTGCAACTGTTTTCTTCTCCCTTGCCCCTCAGTCTCCTCTGGGGTCTCCTTTCCTCCATCCTTCCGGTCAAGTTTGTTTCATCTGTGCATCAACCCTAGAGACATAGGTTACTCATGCCACTCCTTGCTACCTTCTGATTTTCTCAACACTGACCTCTACACACACACACACACACACACACACACAACACACACACACACACACACACACACACACACACGTTTCCTCAACTGGGCTAAGTTCAGAGAGAACCTGTCCAAACCACACTGACTGGGAGGTGGCAGAGCTAGGTCTCAACCTCGGGATTTCTGAGCAAGTGCTTTCTCCTCCCTGCTCTCTGATCCTTGCAGCAGCCTGCCAGGAGGTCAGGGCAGAAATTGCCCCACTTCCACTTCACAGTTGAGAAACACGGAGTCTGAAGGGAGTGTGGCCTGCATAGGCGAGTGCTTCGCAGGGTGACCCGCCTTCCAGGTTTGTCTGGTACGACGAGTTTCCTGGGATGGTTGGTCACTCTTGTGCTGGACACGGTACCTAGTGCTGGGCACGAATGCCTTTTCCATGGCCGCACTGCCTCTCTGGAAGAGCTGTCTCCTGCGGCCTGGCCACCTGGTACCCCCTGTGAAGCAGCGAGTCCCACAGCCTGTTGACTTCTCCTTCCTCCACCCCTTTAGTCGGCCCCATGCTGATCGAGTTCAACATACCCGTGGACCTGACGCTTCTGGCGAAACAGAACCCCGAGGTGAAGGTGGGTGGTCGCTACGCCCCCAAGGACTGCATCTCTCCTCACAAGGTGGCCATCATTATTCCATTCCGCAACCGGCAGGAACACCTCAAGTACTGGCTGTATTACTTGCACCCAATCCTGCAGCGTCAGCAGTTGGACTACGGCATCTATGTTATCAATCAGGTGAGGTGTCTGGGAAGGGGGAGCCAGGGAGGAAGTATGTGTATGTGCGCGCACTCTAAATATGAGAGTAAAGAGGTGGGCAAGGAAAGGATGTAATTTCCTTGGTATCTGATTTTTTACAACTCGATCACTATCACCCTCTTTATTTTCATTAGTGTAAATAGGCCAAATGCCATACAGTGGGCTTGCTTGTTGCTGTAACTCTTTAGGCAAGGAAATTGCTGGGATGCTTTGTTTGTGTGTTTGGGGTTTTTTTTGGAAGTCCCCTTCCAACAAAATGGAGAGAAAAATAACAGCTCTTATTCTCTCCAAATAAAGCAATGACTATTTTCTGTCTCTGGGTAGCTGTGTGTTTTCCTTTTAGAAAATAGAAATACCCACTTGGAGTCAGACCTTTAGTTAACTTCAGATTTACCCGGTTTAACTGCTGTTTCTGAGGTACTCACAAGAGACAATGCTTTTAGTTCAGGCCTGAATGCCAGGCCCCAGCGAAAGTTTGGGGAAGTTTTATTTGTGGTCCCCTGAAGATCATGTGGCCTGAACTGAGTCTGAGAAAAGAGCTTCTCTCTGTGTCTCATCCATGTGTGTATTGAGCTTAAAGAAGCTGTTGGAGGCATGTCAGCCTTCAGCACCATGACCTGGAGAAATCAGATTAATCATCGAGGCAGTTTTGTGTGTGTGTCTTTTTCTTTTCTTTTAAAAAATATTTTTATTGATTTCAGAAAGGGAGAGAGAGATAGAAACATCAATGATGAGAGCGAATCATGGACCAGCTGCCTCCTGCACACCCCACACTGGGAAGTGAGCCCGTAATCTGGGCATGTGCCCTGACTGGGAATCGAACCGTGACCTCCTGGTTCATAGGTTGACGCTCAACCACTGAGCCACACCGGCTGAGCAAGAACACAGACATGTTAAAGGAAGAAGGAAGGATAGAAGTATAACTTTGGTATATCAAGTTTATTTTGAATACTTAATTCACCTCTTTAGACTATAACCTTCTAGGTGCAATAACACATCTAACTTATCTGTATACCAAATTTCATTGGCATTCATCTGAAGAGACAGAGTATGCCAATTTCTAAAAGGCCAAATGTCCATTTTAAGATAAATTCTGAATCTGCTTGAGGTAGTAAGTTGACAGCTTCCATCAAAGTTGAGGGACTTTGTGTGGCTCCCCTTGGACCAGAAGGGAAGCTGAAACCAGCAGTGTGTCCCTCAAGCATTTCTGAGGCCCACTGTGCATAGTCCTGGACCAGTTGCTGCAGAGAGATTCTAAAGAAGTGTAAGGCCCCAGTTCTGCCTGTCCCAAAGCTTCCATTCCCCCTTCTGGCGAGTGGACACTTCCAGAAAACCATTTGTTAACAATCCCAAATAGCACGTGATTGGATGGTGGCTCCCAAATGCTCTGGAAGCTCAGGAAGGAGAGCAGTGGTCTGGAAGAACCAGGATAAAAACTGGGTTCTAAAGGCTGGAGGGAGACATGGTCATCTTAGCTGGGGCCAGAGAATGGGGACTTTAAGGGAGAAAGCAGCCTTGCATGTTCCTGGAGAGCGAGATGACCGTTGGGTAGGAAGGCAGCAGAGGTTCCAGGGCCTGATGTTGGAGCTGAGTCTGTCAGGCAGGAAGGAGCAGATATCTGCTTTTCACGGGAACTGAGGCTCAAGATTGGGAGACAGGTGGTGGGCAAACCCCTCGGGCTCTTTGAGTCCCTCGGCCAACTGAGGCATCGACCAGGGCCCTGAGATAGCTGTGGGTCAGCTACCATAGAAGAATGTTGGAGAATGTAAGAGAGAGTAAGTAAATGCCAGGCCACTTCAATCCAAGTATTTGTTTAAGAAACAAATGTGAGAGAAACATCCATCAGTTGCCTCCTGCACCCATCCCTACCGGGGACTGAACCCTCAACCTGAGCATATGCCCTGACCGGGAATCGAACCAGCAACCTTTCGGTGCACGGGAAGATGCTCAACCAACTGAGCCACACTGACCAGGGAAGCCTCTACATCTTTTCCTTCTCTTCCAAGGGTTAACTTTCCTCTCTCTCTCCCTCTCCCTCTCCCTCTTGTTAATTGTTTTCTTCTGCTCCAGCTCCACCCTGGTTATTTCTTTGGGAAAATACAATCTGATTTTGAGATAACCGAGTCTAAGGAGAAACTTAATTTTCCCCTGCCTTTCTAGGAGAGAGAGAGAGACAGACAGACAGACAGACACAGACATCTTCGGTTGCCTCCCATACGCACCCTAACTGGGAATCTAACCTGCAACCTTTTAGTGTACTGGATGATGCTACAAAGAACTGAACCACACCAGTCAGGGGAGAAACCTAAGCCTTTTGAAAGAAAGAGGCCAAGGAGAAACACTGCATCATTCCCCCTCTCTCCCCAAATTAACCTAGAAACTTCTTGTGTTCTCTGTTTTATAGTTGTTTTAGAGGAAGAAAGGGAGTTCAGAAGGAGTTTGTAGCATCAGGCTTCAACCTTTATGTACTATTGAGCAAAGAGGCGTCATTTGAGCCTCTCAGTGTCTTCCTGTCTCAGACACCCCACTGTCATTTTGACCATTTATCCCCAACCCCAATTAAGATTAGAGAGAAAGAAAAAAAGAAAAAAAAATTAGAAAAAAGATAAAGAAGAAAAAAACACCAAAAGATTAGAGAAACAGAAGGCTTAAAATAGGAGGGGGCTCTGAGACATCTAGTCTAGTGGTTCTTAAGTTTTTAAGAATAGAACCTCAAAAAAAAAAAAAAAGAGAATAGAACCTCCACCCCCTAACTTACCCTTCAGTCTTTGCTGGGATTTGCTTGAACCTCTGAGGCCAGATCGTGTGAAAATGTCTGCTCTGTTTCACGGATGAAGCAACTGAGGCTCAGAGAAGGGAAGCAGAAGTCACATAAGTAACTGTAGGGCTGCAGCTCAAGACCCTGTCCCGATTCCTAGGGCCCTCTCATTGCACGGGCAACAACTCTCTCCTCGAGGCCACTCAGCCCCTCCCTAAAGAGTTCCTTCTCAAAGCTGGGTCTCCAGGGCTGGGAGTGAGCTCCAGCTCAGACTGCCTGGGTTCTGGCTCTGCCACTGACCAGCTAGTGCCCTTCAGCATGAGTTCTTAAAAAAATTTTTTTTTAAACATTTTTATTGATTTCAGAGAGGAAGGGAGAGAGAGAGAGAGAGAGAGAGAGAGAGAGAGAAACATCAATGATGAGAGAGAATCACTGACGGGCTGCCTCCTGCATGCCCCTACTGGGGTTCGAGCCCACAACCCGGGCATATGCCCTTGACCGGAATTAAACCTGGGACACTTCAATTTGCAGGCCGATGCTCTATCCACTGAGCCGGCCCGGCTAGGGCGAGTATTTCGATTTGAGTTCAGCACAGTTCCTCCGTTTCCTGGTTGGTGGGAGGGCAAGGTTTTAGTACTTCCCACACGGGGCTGTGAAGCACCTGGCACCTGGTGAACCCTCAGTGACACTGGTTATTACTGCGATGACTGGAGTTTCTCCTCCTCACCCCCCTTCTTCCTGCCCTTTTTCTCTAATCAGTACCGAGGTGGTAAACTCTTTACTGCTCTCCCTCTTCCTGCTTCACCCCCCTCCGTCACTCAGGACCAGCGTTGGGATTCTCTCTCATTTGTGTGGCTTGCAGGGAGTCAGAGGAGAGCAGATAAGGACATAAAGCCGAGAACCATCAGATAACAGAATCTCAGGGGATGTAGTACCACGTCAGCCTACCAGCTCCTTCAGAACAGGGCTGTGTCTCAAGCTCCACACACAGGGGTGAGCTTTCACTGGCTTTTGTGGCTCCTACCCCTGTCCACATTAAGCTTATTAACCACCCCATTTTGGTTGCCTCCCACATGCACCCTTCCAGGCACCGTGAGAACTTATATCTCACAATAAGGGGTGGGGGGCTTACCAGTCGACACGGAGAACAAGCATTGCTGTTTGTTCTCGGGTCTTCTGCCCCAGCACACCAGTGTCTGAGACTCCCATTAGGGTTCTGGCACAGCCAGCCTGTTGGAACTAAGGGTGCCGCTCTGAGGCACAGAAGTCCTCCCCAAGGTCTAGCACTGGAACCGTGGTGCAGAGTGGACATCAAGGTGTCATAGTGGGTGGGGGGTGGGGTGCATACTGCACTTCCTCATACTTTAAGGAAACTCTAAAACCACCCAAGATAAAGGGGAGACAGGTTGCCACCTGGCACCACCAGCCCTAAACAAATACAGGATGTTTGTGGGATTAACTGCCACAGGAGTAAGTTACCACAGGTGAGGAATGCAGGCCCACCTGGCCAGGTGGATTTGTAATCACCATGGCAGCCCTCTGCCCTGGAGCCAGCACCCAGGACTGGTCTCTCCACTTCCCTTTGTATATCCCCTGGCACCTCTGATCTCCCTCAGCTGCCCAAGATCTTTCTGGTTCTACCATGCCTGGCCCTTTCTTTAAACCCTTCCGTGTGTCCCTACTGCCCGCAGGCAAGGGTCTGCAGGGTCTGAAGCCCTGAGGTCAGCATCCAGGACCCTCTGCAGTCCAGCCCTGACCTGCCTCCAGCCACCTCCTCCTCAGGCTCCATTCACACCTTTGTGTCACAGCCATCCTGGGTTCTCCATCTTCACCCAGACACACTCTGCTCCCGCCTGTTGCCTTTGCTTATGCCTTCCCCGCTGCCCTGCTTGCCTGCCTTCCCTCCCCTACCTGCTCTCTTTCTGGCCACCATTTGAGGTCCCTCCCATCCCCCCCCACCCCCCAAACTTATTAGCTCTGTGAAACCCCAGGTGGGGCTGACCTCTCCCTCCCTGCTGCTCCCAGGCCACTTAGCACATCCTAGCAAGGGATGAGGGGTGATTGCTGTGTGTGCGCTCACCCAGCTGGCGGCTCCTGGACTCCCAGCCCCCAATTCTGACTGCCTCTCTCCCTGACCACCCGGCTCCGTGTGCTCGGTCAGGGTTTGGAGCACGGAGCCGTTCCCTTTGACTCCTACCCTGCACTTCCACCCACTCTCAGG